ATGGTCTCTTGCTGATATCCTGGAATTTCTCTTCCTCTGGAGGTCTGTGATAAAACAGCTGAACAGTTGTGTTTCCCTCAGAACTTCCAAGATTCTGTTGGTCTTTGTATTAGGAAAACCTTCAGCTCACTTTGTTGTCTAGCAAAGTGATGTCTGACAGCGGCAGAGAGCACCCCAGTAAGCTCAGTCGCCCCTGGAGGTCAGGCATCTCTGGGGTCTGGGGCCCCACATTGGACGCTGAGGGGGCTGGGCCTGGGTGGGGGCCGGTGGGGGCATGTTAATCAGATGCTAGTGAAATTGAGGCCAGGGCCGCTCTGGCTGCCCTCCCGTTAGGAGATGGATCAGAGGGAAAATGATGCCTCGAGGGGCTTCGACCACTGACTTCTACTCTTTCAAAGGCGGCTCAGATGGGGCATTGGTCCCCTCCCATAAAGTCAATAGTCATCGACCAGTTGGGAACTGGATCCCAGCCAAGCACAGAGGATGGACTCGACATGACCCTCTCTCTCCTCCCCAGAGCACAAGTGTCAGCCACCTCCCCCTCATCCCTAGGCCACGCTTTTCCTAAGCACCATGCTGGCCACCCACCCTGTGGCCACGTCCTCCTGGGCCTTAGCATCAGGACTCCACCTCTGAGATCTTCCCTGACCCGAGCTCCCATCCTTCCAGCAGTCTCTACCCTTCCTCCTGCTGTACCTCTGCCTCTGCCCACTGGACCCCCTATGCTCTTGGCCCCTCCGTTTTCTCCCAATTCTGCTCTTTCTGACATCACTCCCCTCTATCCCCAAACTACACTATTGGTCCAACCCTCAGCTCCCAGGCCCCTTGTCCACCCTCTTCCTTGAACATCCAAATGTGTAGTTCTCAACTGGGGGGTGATATTCCCCCACCCTCCAGAATGTCTGGCAGTGTCTGAAGAAGGATTTGGTTGTCATTTCTGGGGGTGGGGGTGCTACTGCCTTCTAGTGGGTAGAGGCCAGAGATGCTGCTGAATGTCCCACAGTGCACAGGACACCCCACAACAGAGAATTACCTGCCCAGGTGTCAGTGGTGCCCGGGCTGGGAACTCAGACCTGAGCTGCCCGAGGACTCAGGCTCCCCTGCGCTGCTGCCCCTGCAGAGTTAAGGGCCTGGCAAACCTTTACGGCCCTGATTTCTGTTCTCTCCTCCTCCCACAGTTGCTGTCCCAAATTTTCTTCCTTTTGCTAGACCTCGTGACCTCAGCCTTCATCCCTGCATCTCCCACTTCAGGGAGTGAGGAGAGAGGCTGCATGGGGTAGGAGTGAGGGAGGTGAGGGGCCTCAACTCTCCCCAAGGCCACCCCCAAACTTCCCCTCTGCACAGCAGGCCTTCACTCCCTCTCTGACTGCTTCAGCTAATTCTCTTCCAGGGGCACCCAGATTCCTTGTAAACTCCAACCAGGTCCCCTGACTGCATCTGTTACTCCCATAGGATTCAAACTTGACTCCCTGGAGAGTCACAGCTGGAGGGCTAAAAACAAACAAACCAGCAAAACCAAACATGCAGATGTGTGGGCCCCACCTGCAGAGATGAATGTGCAAAATGTGGCTGGGGTGGGGTGGGGCGTGGAGAGGGGGTGGTCAGGTCCAGGAAGCTACCTGTTCTGCAAGCACCTCGGCTGACTCTGATGGAGGTCAGACGAGAATCTGAGAAAAGCTGACATTCATCTTCCATAATTTCAATCTCTCCATCTCGATTCCCTCCTTACCATAAGCAGGTGACATAGAGTCGCCGTGTAATTCACTGTCTACTCTAGGGCAAGACAGGGCGTGATGGGGAATTATACTGGGTCAGTAGATGGGATCAGGACTGCCCAGGGCAAACTGGAAAGTAATTTTTAAATTCCTTAAATTCCTAACCTTCTTGGCACACCCCCTCCTCATCAAAGAAGCCGATGATTACTGACAATAACAACAAAAACATTCCTTCTCAGCCTCCACCACCCCCAAGTTCAAGTGGCTGGTGCTGCCTGAAGGTGTGTTAGGGGCCCCCCACCCCCTCCTCTGCCATCTCAGCGGAACTTCTCGAGAGGATTGTCTGCCTCCCGTACTTCCCGCAGCCCTTGCCAGGTGGCTCCCATCCCCCAGTGCCCTGACTCTGTTCTGGGAAGGCCACTAGTCGCCTCCTGACTGCTCACTGCAGGGCACACTTGTCCCTTCTGACTTCCCCTGACTGCAGCTGCACGCCCCCTTCTCGACGGCTCTCCTCACTGCAGTTCACCACTCACCCTCTTTCTCTTCTCCAGCTCCACTGGCCACTTCTTCTCTGCCCTCTCCTTGGACTTCTTTTCCTCTGTTTTTCTTTTACATTTTGCTTTTGAATATATGAACGACGTCCCAGAGGTCCCGATGCAGGGGGCAGGTTTCCTGGAGGGAAAATAAATGCAAATGTGAATGAATGAGTGACTGAAAGTATGAAGCCGGACCAGAGGGACATGGCAGGCAGGGGGGTGGACTCTTGAGGCCAGGGTCAAGTTTGCTTCCTTCTCAGTCCTAGAGTCTGACCAGGGCCCCGGGGCAGGGACCTGGACAGGGTGCACAGCCTGCTAAAGAGTGCTCTGTGCCCTTCTGAACCAAGGAGAGGGGCAGGAGGGGAAACCAAGGTTTAGGGGATGAAGCCTCTGCTTGCCCTGGGTGTCCTCCAGGGCCGGCTGAGCTGTGAGGCTGGGAAGACGGTGGGGAAACTTGTGGCCTGCTGTCCACCTTCAGGCCGGCTCCCCAGCTGCTTCCCTCAGGGCCCTTGCTGCTTCCAAGGGGGCAGATCTGAAGCAGGTAGCACATAATACATGCTCACTCAATAGCACTTGCTGTAATTACTGTTGATTTTATCAGGTGTAGCTCCCGAAATCTCTGGGGCTCTCACAAGCCCGGGGGAGGGGTGGGCTGGAAGGCTGGGATCTGGGAGCAGTCTCAGGCAGCAGTGTTTGTCACCGTGGGCCGGGGATGTTCCTGTGAACCTCAGAGCCTCAAGCAGCTGCAGGAGGGGATTACAAATGTAAGAGCACCTGGTCCCTCTCCCTGCAGGCCCCATGCAAGGGTGCTGCACAGAGGCACCCTACAGGTGCATATTGTGTCTGACCAGGCCAGTGGCGTTTCCTGAGGACACACCAGGGACATGTGGGTCACGTGGAGCCCAGGGACATGACAGGGCACCAGCCAGAGATGTACAAAAAAGCAAAACAAAAGCCCAGAGGAGACTCTCAATGGGGTACGCTCTGCTGACGTAAGGGAAACTTGGGGCCAGTGGGAGAGGTGTCTCGGAAGACTCAGGAGAGACCCAGGAGCCTCTGCCTTCAAACACCACATTCCATAGATAATACACTGCTTGACAGTAGGAGCCTTATAGGTATGTTTTATCTTTTTATCAGAAGCAGCTCCCAGCTTCTGATTAGAACTGTCTTTAGGGCAATGAGTTCCCTGCCTCCGGACATGTTCAAGGATAGATGGATGGGACAACCCCTGGGAGGTGTATTGACTACGAGATCATTAGTGGGACCAGGGACAGTGGAGGCCCCTCCCCATCATAAGATTTCTGGCCTTTGGTGGTGTAGGTGTATGGCCAAGGCTGTGTTGTAAGGGTGGGCTTTGTGGATGTGATAAGATAGCCCCTTCCCCATATGGTACCCAACCCTTTCCTCAAGGAGTGCTCAGAAAACAGAGGCTACCTCTGAGCATCACTGGAGGTAGGACCATGGCTGCTCCCCCAGTGAGCCCTCCAGCCCTAGGACCCTCCGTCCCGCCCTCCCAACCTGGGGTCATCTTTCCACAAGTGGGGCTATACTGCCGCCCTCTCCAGCCCTTTTCATTCTCCAGGAGATTTCCCTCTTCTTTCACCTGCTCTGCAGGCCTCAGCCTTGGCTTCTTTTTTATCTCCACTTGGCCAGGCCAAGACAAGGACAGATGGACCCTGCCCCAGGCTCCTGACACCAGGTCCTGGCTGTCCCAGAGCTCTTGAGTGAGGGCTTCAGCTGGGTTCCCTGAAGGCACCTTCATCTTTTTGCCCTTTGCTCTTCTTGCTTATGAAGGAGAGGAGCCCCTCCCCACGTCCTAGGAACTGGGATGTGGGAGGGTCCCACCTAGCCTGCCTTCTCACCCACCCTGCTTGGTTCTGGGAGGAGGGGTTTTCATGATGGGAAATATTGTATGACCTTCCATGGTGATCCTGCTTCCCTTGACCCTACAGGTGAGGCCGGGGAACTTAGAGGTTGAAACTTAAGGTTAGGAGACAGCTGGGGGATGCTCGGAGTTGGGGTTGGAAGGCTCCCTCGTGTTGCATGATGCAGGCACAGCCTCTTGAGGGGGAGGCCAGCCTGAGCAGGGACTAGGAAGGAGAATGAGAGAGGAGGCCTGGGAGCCACCCTCCAGATGTGCCCTGGGCCAGAGGCAGAACCCAGAAGGCAATCAATTTGGCTGATGCCCTGGCCACAAGCCCTGCCTCTTGTCCGGGCCAGATGACTTGGTATCTCTCATCCCAATCTCCATGATGGTGGCATTTCCGGGGAAGCTCCAAGCTTGGGCTTACCTGCTGCCCCAGTGAGTCCAGACCAGGGTTATCAGATCATTGTTGTGAGGGTGTCTGGCCCAGGGGCTGGTACCCCTGGATACTCAAATGTACTGTTGTGTGGGAAGGTTGGCCAAATATTTTGGTTGACTTGTTGCCACTTTTTGTCCCCCTCAGACCAGCAATATGCAAAGGGTTGGGGTGCCTCAGCTGAAGTTTATTGATCAAACATAGTTCTTTGAAGACTCAGAGGTTCTGGAGGGGTAATGCCAGAAAATTGCTCTGGGCTGTGCCATTTTTCAGACCCATTGACCTTCTCAGCCAACATTTTATCTCACCAATGCCTTAGCCTCAGCCCCTCCCAGCCACCCCACCCACCTGGTGCCCAAAGCCTGAAGCTAATTCCTGGGTGCGGTGTCACACCCACCGCACCCTCCTCCATCCGAGCTGACTGACTCTCCTGCGCTCTGTGTCCCCAGGCTGCTGAACAGAATGTCCGCTGACGACCGGCACCTGGGCTCCAGCTGTGGCTCCTTCATCAAGACAGAGCCGTCCAGCCCGTCCTCAGGCATCGATGCCCTCAGCCACCACAGCCCCAGCGGCTCGTCCGACGCCAGCGGCGGCTTTGGCCTGGCCCTGGGCGCCCATGCCAACGGTCTGGACTCGCCGCCCATGTTCGCCGGCGCCGGGCTGGGAGGCACCCCATGTCGCAAGGGCTACGAGGACTGTGCCAGCGGCATCATGGAGGATTCGGCCATCAAGTGCGAGTACATGCTCAACGCCATCCCCAAGCGCCTGTGTCTCGTGTGCGGGGACATCGCCTCCGGCTACCACTACGGCGTGGCCTCCTGCGAGGCATGCAAGGCTTTCTTCAAAAGGACCATCCAAGGTGCGTGGCAGCAGGGCCGGGCCTGGGCGGGGTTCGGGTCCAGTGGGAAACGGGGTGATCCCCGCCAGCTGCCAGCTTGGGTCTGGGCGCTGCTGGAGCAGAGGTTCTAGAGGCTCCCTTTTAACTGACTCCCAGGGTTTCTCACTCTGAGATTCTGGACCAGGGCTCCAACTTCCAGACTGTGGTTGAAATGGTGCACATCCCCACAGGGCACCCCAGAAAACCCCAAGAAAAGCCACACAGATGCCTTAGCACAGGTGTGCCTCATACTCAGATAGGGAACACTGTCAAATGTGTGTCCCTACAAGGCAGATTTGGGGGAAACAAGTTAGCTCTCTTGGCCCTGCCATGCCAGGCCTCTTGAACTCTAACAGGGCTCTCATTTTGTTTTCTTCATAATTTTTAATTGCACAAGTCGAGCATGAATATTTTCCTTGTTGTAAAAGAGTCAGGGCCACAGAGCAAGGGAAATTTCCCCCGCTCACTGTCCCATCTCCATATGGCCAGTCTTCTGGGGCTTTTGACAATGCATCTGCATATCAGCTGAGTCACGTTTTGATGGCCATGGAGAGGCTGCCTCTTTTCATGGGTACCAACTTGGATGAAGGTGGCCAAGAGCCCCCACGGTGCACTCTGTGAAGTCAGTCCTAGGTAAACTGGGGAGAAGGGTGGGTCCACCCTCCCAGGGCTGTCATCAAGTTCATGGCACAGGGCCTAGCACGGAGGAACAGCCGGCCGCGGCAGCCGAGATTCCCACTACAGTGGGCCACGGGGAGCGTGCTTGCTTCTGCATTCCGACGCGTCATCCGTGAGCACCTTCTAAATGCCAGCCTGATGCTAGGACAGACACACCGCCCTCTGCTCGTGGAAGTCACTGAGATGAGCCCATGCCATCCGCGATCACTGAAACTGCAAGCCAGACTGCAGAAAGCCCAGGGCACCTGCCCTGCCCCTGGCCCAGCCTGGCTGTGGGGTGGGCCCTCCCGTCCCCACTCCTCTATTTCACTTTTGGAAGAGGCAGTCTGAGCTCCCCTGGGGTGATTCTCAGTTTGTTCATTCAATGAATATTTGTTTAAATTTCTTGTGACAATGTATTTATTGAATTAATCGAGGGCACTAGGATTGGCCAGGTTTCCAGTTGAGATATTGTGGTGTCTAACCACCCAGTGGGCTCCCGGATCAGACAGCTCCTTCCCTTCCCTTACAGCTCAGGGCCCTTGGGCAGGCAGCCTCAGTTTCTGCTTCACTTTGCGCCTGGGTCAGGAGAGATGCTGTCTTTTCTACCTCACATAAGGCTGTGAAAACAGAATTAAGTGCGTTCATATATGTAAAGCACTCATGTAAGTTGCCTAGCACTTAGTAAGCGCTAAATCAATATTTGCGATTATTACTTTCATTTTCACAGTATCACTTAAAACATAGGATCACTCAGGCAGCAGATATATAGTTTGGTTTCTCTTACAGAGCAGGCTTTTTGTAATTACATACATTTCAATGAAACAGTATAATTATTATGACTTAACAAGATTTAAGTTATTTTAGCTATTTTGGTTGTAGATAAGATTTATTAAATGAACCTTTAAAACAGTATGTAAGTGTGATACAAATTCAAACAGTGCAAAAGAATTAAACAATAGAAACTAAGGTTCCCTAAAACCCCAGGCCGCTGTTCCCTGTAACTTTCCCAAAAGGAGCCATGATACCAACTTCTCTCAGCAGATATTTCTGAGGCACTCTTACATCAGGCACTGTGCTAGCCTTGAGCACAGTGAATGAACACATCCTGGTCCCCATCAGGTTCGCAATCCGCAGTCTGGGAGGAGGCCCTTGACTCTCTAGATTTGAAAAGCACTGAAAGTAATTCTAAGTCTTCTGCCTCAGCCAGGGTCGAAAACTTCTAATCTGATAGCCAGTCAGTATTATTGGATATTTGACAAACATGAGATATCTAAACCCATTTCAGTTACTGAAATAGCAGTGTTTTTCATCCCAGATTGGAAAGTAATCTTGGTAAGATGGCCACTATGTTGGACCCTTAGAGGTCAGTTTTTGAAAAACTGGCTTCTTAGGAGATAATTACATTTTCTTCTCTCCACATTCTTAAATGTGCTGGAGAGTTCTGGATCAAATTCTCTGAAAGCAGAGGCTGCTGTAGACTCAGGAACACTACCACGCCCTTGACAGAGGCCTGGGTGCCGAACGTCCTCAGCAAGTCAAGAGCCCGCAGGAAGAATCTGTAAATAGTCTTAATGATTTTCTACCTTGAATAGGATAAAGATCTCTTCCTAGAAATCGAAAGGCAAACAGCAGCATTTAGACTCCTTTGTCTCCAGAAGAGTTACTCATTCGCCACCAGAAAAAGGTTCCTATCTGGAACAGGCGAAAGGGAACTCTAGGGCTGACGGATAGCTCTGGTTATTTTGTCAGCTCTTTGGCTTAGTGCTTTGGTTGAGTCGCTGGCAGACGTGGCCACAAAGCATAAGGCATTTACACTTTTCTGACCTTTCCTAGGAACAACTTGCACACCGTGCACTTCAGCATTGAACAAGGGAGATGCTGTCCCCCGGCCCCTGCAGGGCTTATAATCAATGCCTAGGAGCACCCATAAGTGTTCGTGACAGCTTTGTCTGCCTAGTTCTATGCTCTGTCGGTGCTGGGGGGTGTGGTGTCACTGGCCCAGAGTAGGTGAGCTCGGAGGTAAACAAAAAGGCACAGTCCTGAGGGGACAGAAATGCTCCCTGGCAAAGGAGATAAACTTCAACCTGAGTGAATTTACTAGTATCTAAATTTATATAAATTTATGTAATTATATATATATATAAATTCATAAAAATTTACTGTATCTAAAGAAGAAAAAAAAGCCCATCGCAAGTGGATGGATCAGCCCTGGAGGCATAGAAAGAGAAGATAGACTTTCGGCAAAGGCCCCACCCTTAGGAGAGGAGTCCGCCTGGGGACAGCCTGTTAGGATTAAACTTCCAATGGGTCTGATTAGCATCTTTCTGATTATGATCTAAGACCTGTAGTTCTGCTTGGAGGGAACTTGCTGGTTAGGCAGAATGCTGGCTGGGCTGATCAGTTTCTCCTCATCCTTGAGTGTGTTGGCTTATACATCCGGTTTGTGAACTGGGGCAATGTGAGTCAGCCCCTGAGAGACGGTGCCCCTCTCTGTGGCTGGCACAGTCAGGCTTCTGGATCATAGGGCAGAGTGCTAGCTTCTGGACCGTGATACTGACCCACAGTTATGAAAAGCTTTGTCGTGAAGGCTGCAGTGATGAGGGGTCCTTTTGGGGAGCCACCTGGGGGTCTTTGCCAAGGTGTAACCCCAAACCCTGACCCGATCACTCTGTCTCTCACTCTCAGCAACAACCCTGCCTCCTGATCCACTGGGAAACTGGAGGCCGTCAGATGGGAGCTCCCTCAGCTTGTTGCCCCCACGCCTGCCCACTCTCGCACATCTGCAGCATCTCTCACTCGTTGGCGGCACAGATCTTCACTGCTGCCACTCCTGCTGGAAGAGGCGTCCCACCCCGGGCTCAACTCTTCTCCGGCTTGGAATCCATCCCTTCTCCATCCCCAGAGAGCCTCCTTTCCTCACTATCTCCTCTCTTTTATCTTCTCACTCTCCACTGTCTCCTTTCCACTGCATGTAAATACCGCTAGTATCTCCGGTATTCAAAAGAAAATCCCTCCAATCTCCAGCTTCCCGGATCACCCTTTCTCCTCCTCCTCTCAGTTCTTGACCCGCCTCACATGCCCAATGTCTTCTCCTGCCCATGGCTTCAGCTGCCTCTGGAATCAGGGCAAATCCCAGTTCAGCACTCCTGCCCTCGGCCGCTCCTCTGAGCTCCAGGGCCTTTAGCACCTAATGAACATTTCCACTTGGATGTCCCAGAAGCACCCCAAATGCAACGAGTCTTTAACAGAAGCTCTGTCTGCTGTCTTTAAACATGTCTCCTTGTATCCCGATTTGGTGCCTGCAGTGTTTTCAAGCCAGAAACCTGGGTCTCATTCTTTACTCTGCTTCCAGCTGACAGCTCCCACCCCCTTGCCAAACCAACATCCCCACAGCTGCATCCTGTTCATCCTCCCTTCTCCTTATTTCCTGAGCTAACAGCTTCTCTACATGCCCCCTGGTTCAGTTCAGGCCACCACTGACCTCTGATTAGAGCACCTTTCAGACTGGTCTCCCCGCTGCCAGGCTCACCCCTTCCCATTCTGAACACACACCTGAATGTGTCACTCTTGTATCTTGCTTGTGGGTAAAATTGAAGCTCCGCCCTGACTGAGGATGTCCCCAGTGTGGGGATTGCCCCACATTGACCTTACCACCTCTTGCAGCCTGGAGGTCAGCCTGATGGCGCTAGTTTCCAGTTCCCAGAACTTGTCTCTACTTTCAATTTCTAGACCTTGCACAACATCTTCTCTTTGCTCGTCCTCCCCCAACCTCCAGGTCCCTCTTGTGTCCATTTGGTCTCAAGGTCTCAAGTTAGCTGGCACTTCAAGTTGGCAGAGGTATGGCCCCTCCTGGAAGCTCTCGTAAAGCTTCTCCAGGCCCACAGATAACACTTGCATTATTTTTAGAAAAACTTTTGGTCACGTTTTGGGAGGCAAGGTCTAGAAAATCTTTCACATGACTCTTTGGTAAAAGAGACCTTGCCTTCTCTAGGGTCACTGTGTGAGACGTTAGGTGCAGTATCTCAGAACACACTGTCAGTTACGTGAGATTTTATGAGTGTGCATGTACTGCTATTCCTCAAAATCCTGTTTTGAGCCCTGAGTACACTTCCTAGACCATCAGGATAGTTCTTTTTCAGTTGCGTCGATTTGCAGTCATGGTTCCCACAGCGCATCAGCACTGCACTGCTTTTGACTCTCAATGCCTGTCATTGTGAGCCATCTTCCCAGGGATAACTAACTTTGTGTTACATGTCTTTCCCCCTTTGTTACTGGTTCAGTCAAATGACTAGCCTTGATTGGGGTCTTCTCAGGGCGATGGG